CAGAAATAATTGGATATATCTGTATGTCATATATTAAAATCGTACATCTGCATACCTTCTTGGAATTATTAATTCTTATTTCCACCGCTATGATGAAATAATTTAGGTAAGCTCATTCCACTGACTGCGCAAGGTATCCACTGGGTTCTGACAATTCTTTCAAAGCATTCTCCAAAGATGATTTCTCATTAAAAGTCCCTCCTCCATAATTGACATTTCCAATATCTGAAATCAAAAAGAAATTAATTCCATATTTCACAAGGACAGGCTTACATTTGTCCATTGAATTGTCTTTTGCAATTTTTAATATGAAATTTGAATGTTTTACTTGAAGATCTTTACTCTCCCAAAAGGCTTGAAATGAATGCGGGGTATTTTGGCTTACCCAACTCAGAGGTGAAGGGTACAGGTGAACCTGGATTGGGGGGTCCCCACGCACAACAGATCCACAACATGTGCGTTATTACTGGTGTGTTTCCCATCTGGAAGCCAGGCTAACTGACCCAGTCAGGAGGAAGGCAAAAGACTGGGTTGGTCAGTGTCCCAATCTGGAGGTGTTGTGTGCGGGGGCGAAGTGCATATTGTCCCTGGGGTTGGGAGATTTGATCAACTGGTACCTGACCCAGGAAAGGGACTGTTTGCAAGGTGTCGGAGGGGGTGGCAGAGGTCAAAGATCTTAGCACAGCTGTAAATCCGAAGCTTACAGGGTATGAGGTGAGAGCCTTGGAGAGGTGATGGAGATCACACGCCTCAGTAAAAGGGATATTGAAGGTCTGTAATGCAGAGAGAGATTGGAGGAGTTGTGGCCATTGTCGGGGTTTTGTGTAGGAGTTGATCAGACTGCATGCCAGTATGTGTCCCAAGGCGAGCCATTAAACTTGAAATGGTGAATGAGTTATTGCCTCATTTAAATATGTAAAAGACCACTTGTTGTTCTCCTGCCCTCTGTCCCAACTCCATTAAAGTCAAAAGTGGCTACATTGCAAGTGGGTCGGAGTTGGGATTCAGAGTTTTAATACTCCACTGTCCAATAACCACCCATTTTTGGGGTTTAAAATCAGCCCCTCAACCACAATTCCCTTTCACGTGATGTTTTTGCTCCAACCTCTAACAATGAACTGAAATTTATGCAATCTATGTATGTCTGGGTCCATCATCACTGTCTGTCAGCTAAATAAACAGTAGTTTTCATTAGCTTGTAGCAGATTGTCCTTAAGAGATCTTTTGTAAAGTTTTAAGATTAAATTGTTATAAACCCACAGATCACCTCGATTACAATTACATACACCCTTGAGTTTATCATTATCGATATGATCTAGTGCTAACGGCAGTCGTTTGGATTTTGACAATAGATGTCAGTGCATTCAATTTTCTTTTTGTGTACATTTTCCAATTTAAAAACTCCAGTATGAGTAGTTAATCTCTCTCTCTATTTTTTTTTCCATTAAGAAAAAAAGCAGTACAGAGAATCTTATATCAGCGACACAATGGAGTTGGATATTGAGCAACTAGAGAAGCGATCCCGAGCCAGTGGCAGCAGTGCAGGCAGCATGAAGCATAAACGCCTTTCCAGGCACTCCACAGCCAGCCATAGCAGCTCTCACACTTCAGGCATTGAGGCAGACACCAAACAAAGGGACCTTGGACCAGAGGACAGTTTCACTGGAAACATCCTTCATAGGAAACTCAAATCCTGCAACTCAATGACCAGCCACGGGAGCTCTCACACCTCAGGCATTGAGAGCGGTGGGAAAGACAGAATAGAGGATGACTCACAGGATGATGGTAATCCAACTGGATAGTGCTGCAAGCTACCATTGCATCCGCTTCATTTACTTGTTATTACTGTCATTAAAGCCTAACAAAGTCATCACAAAAAACATTAACAAGTAGGATAAGACAACAGACATAAAGGCTTCTTTTGCATGCTGAGCATTTTGGTTCCAAGAATGGAAGCAATAAGAATTTCAAATGGTTTGCATTTTGTAAGATTCTTACATGACAAGAGTGTTGTGATGTATTCAGCTCTGCTTACAGAGCACATCTGAAAGGGAGTGTAATCCAGGAAAGGACACCTTTTGCTTCATTGCTGTTTGAACAAACTATGGAACTAGCGACTTTACTGATCAAGGCTGATCTGCAGATATTTTCCCTGAAATGTTTTCATTTCTCAAGGGAGTAGGGGGAAGGGCCTGAAAGATGGCATCAGCCGTAAGTGTATTCCGTCCATTGGATACAATGGAGTGGTGGAGGGTCAGAGGGACATTATTAGACTGGACATTTGATGACTGTTTCCTATCAAAAACCATTTCTAATTTTAGTATATTTTTGCAACAATTCATTTTTTTAAAGAATAAATTTGTAAACATTTTGTAACATTCTTGTGTGGTATAAAGAATTGCTGTTAAAATGCAGTATGATAGATCTCCCACTGCAGATACTTACAAACTGCTAAAAACCGAAACAAAGCTGACCAGAAGTGTAGGATGCTGACTGCATGTATTTTGTTTTAAAATGGTAGATTCATCTTATCATTATAGATAACTCATTATTTATAGTAGGGAGACCGCACAATGGTGGGGCCAGAAGTGAATTGGGAAAGAATGTGGCATCCCTAAGTGACTGAACAAGGGGCCAAAAGTTCTTTAAATCTTTGAAAAGGCTTCAAGGGCATTTAATGCTAACTTTGCCAAGGCTGGAACCGGACAGTCCCAGGGGGAAAAAAAATTAAAGTGAAAGGAAATCCAAACTGCAGGCACTACTCAGATACTGTAGGAATGTGGCAGAGTTTCTGACTCAGTTTGAAACAGGGGTCCTTGAGGTGATTGCAAAATGGGTGGTGCATTTTGAATGTTGGGGCATCATTCAGAGCAGCATTTCAGCATGCCAAAAAGGTGAAAGCAGGCATGAGGACTTAGCTGACTGGTGACGTTATAGTTGTGCCATCCTTGCCATCCATGTTGGCTGTAGGTGTCGTTGCAGCAAATGGCATGCCTCTGTACTTGATTATCTATTTACCTTGAGAGTATGAAGATACTAACCCATTGTCACAGGCAGGTAAGAGTTCCAGCATCTGTGATCACACCTCATGCATGGCTAATTAAGCTCGAGCTGCCTATTGATCTCCCTCAAATGAATTGCTACTCAAAAGCTGAAATACTGAACGTTGCTGAAATAATTTCACTGAGGCTGGTATCCCATCACCAAGTCACCCTTTATTTCCATATGGAGAGTTCTTGACACTGATCTAGCTCCCTCCGAGTCAGCGCTCAGAGTGAACAGGATGTCTGACACTCCTGTTCTTATCTGTCAGCCAGGGCTCCCTGATTGGACCAGATTAACAGCTCAATCAGAGAACTCATATTCTGAGATCCACCTGGCTGACTTCATTCCAATCACTATAATGGCACTCTGTATATCATACTTGTGTCAAGTATGCTGGCAGGTTCTACCTTGAAATTTTGGGCCTCTGCGTACACAGACTATCTGCCTCACTGAGGCCTGTGTTTTTGTGTAGAAATGAGAGTATTGACAGGTGGCCAAGGAATACCTTGGAATACAGCCTGACTGTGCATTGGTCGTCTTCTTTTCAAAACAAGACTCACATGAAAGAGGATTCTGTTCAGGAAACCCATTATGACATTAATGTGTCAGCCTTAGTCAGTCATAGAACTCACCTCGAAGTCAAAGCACTGACTCTAGAGGCTTGAACATTAACATCAAAGAAGATGTCTCTGTGTCCTGACCACATTTATCCATCACCTATCATTAAATAGTTATCTTGCCATTTACCTCAGTGCTATGTGTTGATTGTTTGGGAATTCACTAGCCATCAATACTGGAACTACAATTCCAATGGTGTTAGTTGACTGTGATTATTTTTGGATACTATGAGGTTATAAAACATCCTATATAAATACAAGTTCCTTCTTCTTTAACTCTAAATGGGGTTACAGGGACAAAGGGACAAATGAGCAGTTGCCAAGTACATTTCTTAAAAACCTGAAAGTTAATAGGAAAAAAACAGAGCCAGAAGGTACAGAACAAGGCTGAAAGCTGTGATCTGAATTTTCATTTTGTGTTTTTAAAGGATTTTATCTCTAACTTGCATTTATATAATGTTTTCAATGTGAAGAATATTCCAAGATGCTTCAGAAATAGTTGCAGAGAAAATGGGTGTCGAGTCTGGAACAGAAAGGAAGATTTATTCCATTGTACTCCTGGCTGAATTTGCATTCTTCACCATTCTTAAATTTCAACTGACTTATCGCTCTTCTGTCTATTTCCTAATCTACACCTCAGTCCTGACCAGCATCATTCCTCTGCTCCCGTTACATTGACTTCTGCTCCCTCAATGTCTCCAAATAAAAATTCTCATATTGAACTTAAAACCCTTTGTGGCTTTGCCCATACTATCTGTAGGACTTCCTTCAGCCTTGCAACTCTAGATATTTCATATTCTTCCAACTTCAGACTCTGATATAGTCCTCAATTGTCTTCACTGCACAAATGACAGGTTTTCCTTTAGCTGTCTAGGTTCAAAGCTCCAAAATTCACTCCTTAAATTTTTCTGTCTGCCTGCCTGTGTCTCACTCTTTGTCTATCTCTGTCTTTCTCACTCTGTCCCACGTTGTATGGCCCTCATTGAAGCTTCACTGTTTTGACCAAGCATTTAAACATACTGCCTAATATCTCTCTTCTGTGGCTTAGCATGATTTTTTTATTTCTGATTGTGTGCTTTATTGAAGCCTGTTGGAATTGCATTAAAGGTGTTATGTAAATGCAATCTGTTGATGCTGAGAGAACGGTTTTGGAATATTCACGCCATAATGCATGCTTCATGATCCATGGCAACTCGATCACCGTTGGAACACAGGACAGGGCTGTAGCCAGTGGCATCGTAGAAATTTCACAGGCAAGCGATGCGATCTAACAAACTCTATTTTGAGACTCTAACTACCTTTGGCAGTTCGGTTGTCTACAAATTAGGCTCTGTATAATTCCTTTCTCTCTCTCTGCCTCTCTCTCTTTCTCTCTCTATCTTTCCTTAACACAATTTTTCCTTCTCAATATCTTTTTGGCTTACCTCACTTTACTCTTTCAACCCGGGCTGTATCCAGCATTTGAGACTTTGGGCTTTCACCTACATTATTCAATAAAATAACCTTTATTATGGCTCACTTCCAGACTGATCTTTCAGACTAAACTTTAAAAGCCTACATAAGTTTCAAAGAAAAATTTAAAGCACATCCTGAAACAGAAGTTACTTTATTAATTAGTCAAGGGTTTCAGTTTCTGCGATGCACACAGTGAGAACAATGAACATCTAACTCCTATAAACTCTTGGGTTGGGGATTGTGTAAAAATCTCAACCCTGACCTCAACTTGTCTCCAAGCTGCTTCCTGATTTATCTGTGGCGGAACAAAAGCTTGCCAGGAGACAGATTGGCCATTTGAATACAATGAGACCAGCAGCTCAGAATAAACTTGTTTTTCACGTTTAAAACCGGCTGGGTATCCCAGGCCCCAAACACCTGGAAACTATAGCTATGGAGGCACAGAATTGCTTTCCCCTAGTCTTACATGTCTGTTCTTGTCTTGAATATTGTCTCGCTCCACCTCCCCACCGCAGGCTAACATCAGGGATTGGAACCTGTCAGCGGAGTCCCTACTGAGGGTTGCGCCCTGCTCGGCTGTGCTCCTCCAATGACTCATGACAGCCAAGCCTGTCAATCAGGCTGAAATCTTGGCACATATGCACACTGCAGCTTTATCAGGACAGATCAAATATGTCCCTATTTACACACTTTACTGGAAATAGTGTGTTAATTTTGTAATGAATGTACTGAAAACGTGCTGGTCATACTGAAGGGTTTGGTGGTGTTGAGTAAAACTACAAAATACGTAAAAGAATAAGAAACCTTTGGTAAACTGCCCATGCCACTTCATAGCACTGGGCCACACAGTTAGGAAAAACAAAGACTAAGGATTCAAAATCTAAAGGAACTCTGTGATTGGACGACTTTACCAAAATGGATGCAAGTCATTGTTCACAAATCAAATCAAGAAATCCCTCCAACCAATTTGATCTTGTATCTCCAGAACCTTAATCTTATTAAGATTAATTACTATTTAACTGATTTGACCTTAATTATCCTTCATAGGATGATCAACTGCTAGAATGAGTTACTGTTTGCAAAGAAATACTTCATTTCAGTTGCTCGTAACTTGCCCTGCATGGCCACATTGCTCCCTTTGCTTGATATATTTGAAAGTATAGCTGCAGATTAAGTTCATCACATTTAAGTATATAATCTGTCTCTTTACGGCATAATCCGAGACATGTCTTTTCAAGTCTGAAAACACCAATGGAGTGAAGGCTGTAGTGTCCAAATTATAATCTCTAATTAACTCAGAAAATGCAAAGATTCTTTTGTAATACTTCTGTCAATTGATATTCCCTGTAATAGTTGAAGAAATTGGCAAATGCTTTTAGAAAATGAAAAATACCATCGTGTGCACCCCACTGCAACAGAAGATAACTCTTTACAAAGGAAGTCAGTAGAATAAACTTATAACCTATTAACCTGATTAACGGCCAAGAGTTATAGGAGGCAGTCTTCCAGCAGCAATTCTGTACATGGTTTCTTCTTAGTCAGGTAGACTGTGAGGGGATAAATGCTATCTTCATAAGGATAAAGAGAAGTATTATTAACAAGCACTCTACCAACCATTCTCCCAATCTATTACATGAATGAACCAACCCTAATAATATGCACAAGCAATGTTACTTCAGGTAGATATAGATCGTTTATTTTTGTCAAGCTTGGAATTTTCATTTTCAGTTTGAGGCTGGAGTTTAGGAGGGATGGCATTGATTGCACAAGACTAACTCGCCATAACTGGCCGTTGTTGCAATAAATGCTTCTCATTCTCCCAATTACATGGAAATTATAAGATTGCAAAATAGGAAATGTAAAATCTGTTTGAGCTAAGTGTATTGTTTTTGTCCTAGAAATAGAAATGCTGGTTGATGATCCCAAGGACTTGGAGCAAGTGCATGAACTGGCCCCAGAGATCAGTCCCGATATGTGTATTCATATTACCGAGGAGATGCTGATGTCAAGGCAGCTGAATGGACATGCGGGTGAGCAGATCTGGAAGAACATCTTCCAGGATTAGATAATCTTGTGTAGACTCTCGCAAATGAGTAATTTAGTCATTTGTTTGAAAATGTAACAGGCACAAGTTAAAATGAGAATCTACAATCTATAGTATTAATTGAAATGCAAGTTGTTTTATGCAAAAAATATAAGGCTTGAAATTCTTTGGTACATTTAGGCAGATTTGGGTACTACAAGATAGCTGCTCCTTTTTAACAGATTTCGCCAGGAATAGCGGTGGTGGGTGATAGATGAGTGAAGGCCCACGTCCCCTAACAAATCCCCTGCAGCTGTGCATCATAAGAGAAAGGATGACCTAAATACTGTTCCCAGACCAACGTAAGCTGCAGTACAGGAGGTGTCTGAGACTCTCAGTAACAGTTCACAGCGTAGAAATAATCCCAGTGCAATTAATTCTTCCTCAGAAACGGAAGGTAATTGCAAACATAATTACACTTTAAGCAGAGTGTGCTACCTACCTTCTTGCCCTTCTTCTCTGCTAAGACAATGACAAGGAATCAGTGTGGGGTGGGTACCAAGGTGGCGCCATTTGTGGCACAGGTTCTTGCTCCCTTTGTGCTAATGTCTCTGTTCCTGGGATTTTGGTTGAGATCAGCCCCTGGACAGACTGGCAGGTGGATGTCCAAGCCACCAAACATCCAAGAAGAGCTCACCAAGAATTGCTAGGCTAATGCACTTTAGATTTTCCTTAGATTGTGGTTTTGGAGTAGATTATCCCAGTTATATATTACGAAGAAAGGCATTGACTAAAAGGAAAATTTAAATCAGTTTTTTGATAGCAGGAAGCCTGCCTGGGTATTTTGGCTTTTCATGCTGGAGAACTGATCAGGATTAGTACTAAGCCTGGCTGCCCTTGTTTTCTTCAGACCACAGTATGCTGCTCACAATGTGGTCCCCTCTACATTGGGGGAAATGAAGCACAGACTGGGTGACCACTTTGCAGAACATCTATGTTCTGTCCATAAACAAAGGTCCTGAGCTTCCAGTTGCCTGCCACTTCAACTAAGATGTTTCTCATAAGATTTTTATTTTCTAAGTTCTGCTTTTCCAGATGATGATAGAAGAGCTATTTTTTAAAAAGTTAATGTTTCCTTGGTCAGAATGGATGCAAGGTCCTTGACATGTGATGTTAACTTTTTTTTATTGCCAAAGGTGTTCCCAACTGGCTGCGTTTTTCAGCGTATTAGATTTTACAGATTTTTCCAGAATCCATAATAATTATTTTAGTATTGAAATTTTTAAAACAATGTGTACATTTAAAAATACATCAACTGCACAAGAATTGCTTTCAGGGTTTTTATTGGCACCAGTTTTGAAAGTGACTGTGACAGTCTGCTGCTGACCTAAGATTAATCAGAGCCACTACCATCCTTGGTATAAAGTGTTACCTTTTGCATCTCACTTGGAGAGTAAAGTTCCCGGCACAATTTAAAGGCAAGGTGTTCTCCTGATTTCTTAGCGAGCAATATTGCCTGTAACAAATGACATCAAAAAAAAACAAGGTCATTCGACTCACGGCTATTTGTAACATCACTGCTGGATTTTTCCCAACTTCTTCATTAAAGAGGTGATTTGAGAAATTACAGTGATCCGATTAGATTGAAACACAAGTGTTTAAAAATTTGTTGTGGTGATTTTGCATGTCAACAATTAGGCATTTTGTAAATGTACGAATATTTTCTTTGTTTCCTGTAAATTAAATTAGTATAGGAAGAGAGCTGGGTGATGAGGGGGAAGAGAGATTTGTTCAAACATGGGAATTTTGAGGTGCTCCTATTCTTGTTGAAGCGGGCAGCACCCAAGCTTTCAGAAGTCGTGAGTATCCAGACGACTGCAGTGTGCAGCTCAGTGCAGAATGGGCTGCTGACTGGCTACAGGGGTCACATAGTGTGCACAGCTAAATAATACTGGACATCTGAAAGGAGAGCTGCCTCCTACAATAGGTGCTACTGCAGCTTTATCTGGAACATTTAGAAACGTAGAGGTTTACAGCATGGAAACAGACCCTTCTGCCCAACTTGTCCATGCCACACAGTTTTCACAATTAATCTAGTTCCATTTGCTTGCATTTAGTCTATATCCCTCCATACCTATCCTTTCTGTGTACCTGTCCAAATGTTTCTTAAATGACAAAATTATACTTGCCTCCACAACCCATTCCAACCACTCACCATCCTCTGTGTGGAGAAAAAAGTACCTCCCTGGACCATCTTCTATCTCTTCTCCTCTAGTTTTAGCCTCCCTTACCATGAGGAAAAACTGTTGGCTATCTACCTCATCTATGCCTCTCATGATTTTATAGACCTCTATATGGTCACCCCTCAGTCTCTTAAGTTCCAGTGAAAAATGTCCCAGCCTATTCAGGCCAGCTTGCTGTCGTGGGGCAGTGTCAGTGGCTCAGAAACCTTTCTGTCCTCCCTCAGGCTGAGAGCCTTCATACTTCTCCCACTACTGCTCTGCTGCTGCCCTTGCTGTTGCCTCTCAGGTATACCAGGAAACTGCCACACTCACACCAAAATAGTGCACCTGAGCCTGGGCCCACAGTGCGCAGAGCTGCTTGAGGAGGTTGTGAAAATTGAGTTGCCTTTCTCTCTGAGTGAAGGCCAGCAGCATCCATCAACCATACTGCAGTAATTAGGGTAGCTGTGTAGAAGTGCAGGAAAGGTAACTGCATGACACAAACCAAGAGCATGCACAAGGGTTAAACACTTGAGCTTAGTATATGTGATTGGAAGTGTTGAGAAATTGCTGTGGAAGGTGGGAGCTGAGAATAAGTGAGGGGAAGGTGTTGTATTCAATAGTGAAAGTGGGAGAGCATGAGCCTTGGTGGGAGGTAGATGCAGTAGCTGAGATAGGGTCAGTGTGAAGTAGCAGAGAGAAGATGGTGGCACATTCCATGGTGGAGCAGAGAAGGCCTTCTTCCTGCCTTGCTGAGTGCCCGTCCAGGCTGTGGATGCTGCACTGCCTCTGCGGCAACCTGGGACCAGGTTGGTAGGGCTTGGTGTCACTGTCACCTCTACTGGTCCTCTGGAAAGATGATGTCCCTCCTCTGTGCCACACTGTCCACTAGGACTTCCAGGTCCCCGCTCACAAAGTGAGGCACCAATTTCCCTTCTCTGCCATTCCCGAGCAAATGCCTACAACTGTGCTGGGCTGCTTCGCACTAACACTTGACTAGGTTACATGAAAATGAGACTTGACTTTGATGATACGAAGGTGGGTCGAGTGAATAGTGTGGAGGGCTTTTCTAGGTTACAAAGGGGCATTGTTAGGATGCAGAGCTGGGCTGAGAAGCGGCAGATGGAGTTTAACCCTGAAAAATGAGGTGATTCGTTTTGGAAGAACAAATTTGAAAGCAGAATACAGAGTTAATGGAAAGATCCTTGGCAGTGTGGAGGAGCAGAGGGATCTTGGGGTTCATGTCCACAGTTCCCTGAAAGCTGCCACCCAGGTGGATAGAGTTGTTAAGAAGGCTTTCATTAATAGAGGGATTAAGCTCAAGAGCCGTGAAGTTATGCTCCAGCTATACAAAACTTTGGTTCAGCCACATCTGGAGTATTGTGTCCAGTTCTGGTCACCTCATTACAGGAAAGATGTGGAAGCGTTGGAAAAGGTGCAGAGGAGATTTACCAGGATGTTGCCTGGAATGGAGGGAAGGTCTTACGAGGAAAGGTTGAGAGACCGAGGGCTTTTCTCTTTAGAAAAATGAAGGATGAGAGGTGACTTGATAGAGGTGTACAAAGTGATCAGAGGTATAGATAGAGTGGACAGCCAGAGACTTTTTCCTAGGGTGGAAGTAGCTATTACGAGGGGGCATAGTTTTAAAGTGAGTGGAGGTAGATATCGGGGAGACGTCAGAGGTAGGTTGTTTACTCAGAGTGGTAGGGGCGTGGAATACATTGCCGGAGAGGGTAGTGGATTCGGCCTCATTAGGGGCATTTAAGCGGCTATTAGATAGGCATATGGGTGATAGTATAAGGTAGGGGTGGAGGTTAGATAGACCTTAGGTTTAGGGTAAAAGTTTGGCACAACATCGTGGGCCGAAGGACCTGTACTGTGCTGTACTGTTCTATGTTCTATGTTTCACAATGGCCTTTAACATGTGGCATTGGTGCCAGGTTTGCCAGTACATTCTGACAGTAACAAATACTTTGGGCTGCAGTGAGTTGGAGAATTGTGCAAACATTGGACGAGAGGGGCACCATAGGGGTGTAGCACCTTGTTATTGAGGCATGTTTGGGCCAATCATGTGAGTAAAACTCAGTGGGTCCTGCAGAGAGAAACCTCTGTGAAATTACATTAAAATGAGACTTTGTTCAAATATGGGAGCATCCAGCCCACCAAAGCTCTCCCCTGGAATTTGGATGCGAAACGTAATGGTGTTGGGTGCTGTGGACTCCATTGTGAAACTGGGAGAGATTACATGGGAATAGTAATTGGACTTGAGCAGTCCAAAATGGCAGATGGTGCACCAAATTGAAGACAGAAGCTGTCTGATCCCTCAGTCTGCATTCATTCTGGCACATGCACTGTACATCTGCATATGTACACTATCAGTCAGAGTGCAGCAGAGCGGCATTTAACACCCAGTGGCTAGTTCCTGCGTTTGGGATTTCAGTAGCACAGCCAATTACAGCACTGTGGTCCCTAAGTTTACTGTAATAGTCTTTGCACCACAGAGTAATAAAGTAGTCCCAAAACTGCTGAAATAATGCATCTCTCAGCAAGCAGCCGACATTGGGTTTATTTCCTTATTCTTCAGGTCAAACTATAGTCACAATGCAAATTTATGGAAATTCACATCAGTGATGTTGCCATGGTGTCAGTGTCACATCTGGATGTCAAGAATGTTGTGTCCAATAATCTTATGCCGTGAATAAAGGATAGAAAAAAACCCAGAGTAAGTGGCGGAGAATAAAATACGATGAATGAGTGTCAAATGAATAGAAAGAATTCAATGGGTTAAGAGTGAAAGAAGAAAATGTTGTAATGGGAAGGCGTGAAGAAAAGTTAAAAGAACAAGCAGAAACAGATCACATTGTAACGTGTGTGTTTGAGAACTGTTGCATTGATTCTTGAGAAATTGAATGAACGGCAGGGCAAGTACATGAGATATACAAACGTTGTTCCTCATACTGTACTCAAATAATTTTTTGAAAGAAACCTGTCCAACTTGCAATTAAGTGTCATAACCAAGGTTCACCTGGAAATTATTGACTTCTGATGCTCATGGCCAGGAAAGTACCACGTACACAGATAGTAATTGAGTTTTGAGAAGCTGTAGGAATGATTCACTCATTGCTGGACTGGGACTGTTCAGCTTTGTTTGTTTCCTTGCTGGGTCTCCAAGATTGTGTTTCATGTCAGGATCATAAATTACATTATTAACAACGTCCTCATAACATGATATACTAGCTTTAACTGGAAGCAGGAGAAATCCAACAATTTCAGGACCAACAATGCAGAGGCTCACTGTTGGGTTGCAATTTTTTTCACTTTGTCGAGGCTAGACGCAGAATTGCACAAATCTGTCCAATTTGTGGAGAATTGGAATTGATGCTATCTCTTCTTCACCACAAATTGCTAGAGTTTATTTTTAAAATGGGCTAATATTGGTGAGTGCTGCTAATTCTCAACAGTTTTTAACATTAAGCTCACTTTATTCAGTGACTTCCTGGACACCACATCAACCTGTGTTTGTAAAGGATTCTGCAGCCATTAATGGCACCTATTTTATTTGCTGCAGGTCTGATTGTACGGGAGCTGAGTTCTTCTACTTCCAGTTCTTCTGAAACAGTGGTGAGACTTTACGGCCAAAGTGTGGATTCATTACCACAGGTGAGTTCACCCATGGATAAAATGATACTTTTTGTTCTGTGCGCGCTTGATTAGATCTGATTAAATAAGTACCTACTTACCTTAACTAAAATATATTGCTGTGCACCTGGTTTTGTCAGAACAGGACAGTCAAATGGGCCAACAAGCTACGTGGCTATTTTCCGTTCCACATGCTGCTGCACCTCAGTAGTAGCCCCATGGAAATGGAGCAGGTCAGGGAGAGCTAAGATGACAGGGGCATTGTCGAGTTGGTTTGCCTGCTGGCAGTAATCTCATTGCCTTTTGTTCCAGCCATGAGTTATATCCAGCATACAAATGAGGTGCAAGAGTTAATATCTCTGTTTGTGGGTGGACACCTGTAAAGCCTAAGGAGGGAAAGCAGCCACTACACTGTCTCCTGCTTCTTTTTAGATTCATTCACAGGATGTGCGCCTTGCTTATTAGTCCATCATTTATTCCCCCTGCCTAGCTGCCCTTGACAAGTTGGTGTTGAGCTGCCTTTTTGGACTGCTGCCTTGGTATAGGTATTCCCACAGTGCCGTTAGAAAGTGAGATCCTGGAGTTTTGACCCTGGGCCAGTGAAAGAATGGCAAAAAAGTTTCCAAGTCATGATGGTATGTAGCTTGAAGGGGGACTTTCAGATGTTGAAGTCATTGGACGAGGTGCCAGTCATGTGGGCTGCTTTGTTCAAGATAGTTTTGAGCTTGTTGGTATAGATGGAATTTTGCCTATCCAAGCAAGTGGAGAATATTCCACCGAACCCCTGACTTGGGTCTTGTTGATGGCAGACGTGCTGTGGAGAGACTGCAGATGAGTCACTCATTGTAGAATTTCAAACGTCTAGAACATAGAACTGTACAGCACAGTACAGGCCCTTCAGCCCATGATGTTGTGCCGAACTTTTACCCTAAACGTAAGGTCTATCTAACCTCCACCCCTACCTTATACTATCATCAAGTCTGACCTGTTTGTTTTTTGTTGCGATATTTATATGGCTGATCTAGCTCTGTCTCTGATCAGTGGTAACCCTCAGGATGTTGTTGATGGGGAATATCAGCAATGGTAATGCTGTTGAGTATCATTGTCTGAAATAGTTAGGTATTCTCTTGTTGGAGACAGTCACTGGCTGACCCCTGTGTGGAACAAATGCTACTTGCCATTTATCAACTCAAATGTGGATATTGTCAAGGTCTTGTGGCTTATAGATACTGAGTACTTCAGTGTCTGAGGAGTCAGGAAATGGTCTTGAATATTGCGCAGCCATTAGCAGACATCCCCACTTCTGACCTTTACAAAGGAGGGAATCTCATTGACTTTGCCACTGAAGAAGTTTGGGTGTCGAACCCTAAGCTGTGGAATGCCTGCAGAGATGCCTGGAGGCTGAGGTGACTGACTTCTAACAGCCACAGCCATCTTCGGTTGTGCTAGGTATAATTCCTGCCAGTGGCGGAGACATACACATACACAGACATACATACTGCGAATCCCTCTGACTCAGTGAGTGTCAGCTTCCTTTATGACACACTTCAATTAAATGGTCCCTTGATATCAAGAGGAATCACTCTCTACCCAAGTTCAGCCCCTTTAATTCATATTTGGATCAAGATTGTAGTGAGGTCAGGAACTAAGTAGCCCTTGTTGAGCCGAAGTGAGCTTTAGTGAGCGTGTTTTTGCAGAGTAAGTTCTGGAGCACACCTTCAGTGCTTTTGTTGAAATGTTGTTATGGTTCATAGACTTTGCAGTGTCCGTGCACTGCAGGAACGCTAAAGCCCCTGCAGATGTTACCTTTTAGGCCTTTTGTGCCCTGCACCCAGAACCATATCCCCAGGATAGCTACTGGAGATGTGTTTGCATACGCTCCCTCAGAGTGTTGTTTTTGCACAGATATCATAATTTCATTCTGTTTTTCCACTGATGCAGATTTCTGGAGATGAATTTTCTTCCATTGCAACTGGCACCCCAGAGAGGTGACACTGCACGTTTCAGGCCTGGGGAGGGGAAGCAGTTTCCTGCTTCAGGCGAATACTGTCAGATGTGGAATCTTTCACCCATAACAAAGGTTTCATGTTGTGATTCACCCAAAGGCAGAAGTGTATTCCTGACAAGGAGATAAAATATCAATTGTGTGCAAGTTTACTATTCGTTTTTTAAATATGGCACAATCAATGAGACAGGAATTTCCACAGCTTTCAAAAGAACGCTTTTTTTTTTATCCTCTGGTCAACAAGTCAGTTGAACAAACAGTTACAGATGAAAATATAATAAGGCCATCAGTGGCACAATGATCTCATCACTGGAGTGAACACATTTGAAACTGGATTTGTTTTAAAAATGAAATCCTAAAATAAAACCCTAAGACCTGCATAGAGCTCTGCTAAGTAGACAGAAACTGTTATGGGCAAGCTCTCCCTGGAACTCCCTTTTGATGTAATAATAGTTTTAAAGGATCAGCAATACATGCTAATTTAAAATAATTCCACTGATTTCTGCAATACAGTGGGGTGAACATGTCTCTGATATCTTTCTGGAACCTCTTTAAAGGAAATTCAAAACAAATACTTACATTTTTACTTTCTTTAGAATCCAAAGCAACTGTCCACCAGTACTTCAGCTACCGTAAAATATCTGCTATATACTGTACTTAAATATTTCCTGTAGTTCCTGCTACCTTTTTTAAACACAATCACACAGCATATGTCACAGGAGTTGGACACTTGCTTTGGGCAACTAACATTTTCTTTTCTGTACAACTTAGAAATGGAAAGCTGCTGACTTATTTCTGTATTAAACATTTTTGTTACATGTTACATGTTTGTATTTTTGTATTCAGTTACCCCCATCAGTGTTTCACACCTTTCCTGCTGCATGCAAATATTCCCTATAACTAAATTCTGTCATAGATTAAGGATCTGTCACATGGGATGGTTCTGTACCTAATTGTTGTGCCACAATGGCAATAAGAAGCTCACTGCTTGTATCTGTGATTCTTTTCTTGGGCCAGTAACCTTATTACTTTTCAAAAAATCAACTACTTTGATTTACGCAGAGCTGCATGATGATACAGAATTACCACTGACATGAGCCTCAGCCAGATCTTTCCACAATAATCCATGCGTATTAGTGTGCAACAGTAGCAGAGTAGGTCAACAGAAACACTGGCTTTCATTCTAACTCAACCCACCCAGTGAAAATACAATGAGTGAGAGGTTTACAATAGCAACAATCAATATATTCTCCTACTCCTCTGAATTCACTGCCGTATTAATTTCAGGTTGAATTAAATCCAATATGCACCTGCCAAACATAGGCAGGTATCTCATGCAGAAATTCAAATAGGAGTCAGATTGTGTCATTTGGATCCCAGTACCAAAATATCTGGAAAGTCTAAAGTTTCATCTGGCAGCAAGTGCAGAGTAAAATTTGAAGCGACCTTAAATCATGTCTAACCACTACCACTTTTGCAATGTTCTGAACATAATGACACGTGAATGCAGTGCTTGGTGGTGCACAGCTATCTGCTAATAGGCAAGTCTACAAAAACGTATATTCCCAAAGAGCAGTACTTAGCATGTTGGACCTTCATCTCTCTCCCACCTGCACACACTCAGTAGATCCAGACAAAGCTACAACATTTAATAGTGAACTTAAAGCTGAAGTGTGCATTATAGTTGAAGTACTGGCATGGGACAGTCAGACACCCAAAAATATCAGTTAACATCCAAACTGGGTGACTTTATCCATTCATTTGGCTATTCTCCTTTAGATCAAAGTAACTGTATATATACTATATACAGTATATAGTCATGTTTGTATCCAGAAACCTTCAGTGCTTGTACACCTTGAGGTCTAGCTGAAACATTGTTTCCAAAGATTAGATTTACCTACTTTCTGGAATTAAAAGTTCAGCCATTCAATTGAATTTGACAAACATCTAATGTGGGCTATGCAAAGAGTTCCCTTTCCAAATTTTTCACTCCTTTCTTTAAATTTATTTGCAAAATTTTTTGTAGAGATTTGGTTAGCAGTGACTTCTGATCAATTAAAGTTTTGAAGTTAATTGAGTGAAATGGTGCCTAATATTTTGGTATTGTTATATACAGCCTGTATGCAGAAAACCAAAGACCTCCACTGACCGGCATAGCCAAAGCTTGGATGACATTCGTCTTTATCAGAAGGACTTTATGGAGGTAGCCACCCTTTGCCAAGACGCTGCTCAGAGTTACACGTTTGGCTGTGCTCATAATCTGAATAAGGAAAGTAATTGCTGTAACCGGTGCTTGGCAGAGCAGTACAATGCAACAAAGGAAACTTTCATTGTCAAACGAACAAGTAAATATTCATCTTTGGACCTTACAGCTGATGATTCTGTTCCTGAATTTGTGGTTTGAACATTTTTACTATGCATTAGTGATGTGTACTGTAAGTCTGGCTGCCTACTGCATTCCAATGACCTTCCAAATCGACTGCTTACACTTCACTGTTGAGCTGAAAGACTTTTTGTTTCAGTCACCCAAGGAACAGTTAGTTTATATTCTGCAGTTCTTCCATGTTTCTGAACAAAAACAACTTAGAAAGCAATGGATGCCAAGAAGCCAAAGAAATATGTTAAGCAGGAGTCTAAAACAATGATAAGAAGATGTATATTTTTGAGAGTCAAAGAACGTTCAGTAACAGCAAGACAGTCAGAATTCTTTGCACATTGACTCTTCTGTGGAAAATTAAATCCATGGTGTTTGGAGTATTACAATTCAGTATTACACAAACAAAGTTCTTTCCAAAAAAACTTGTCTTTTTTTATCAAGCAAATGTTATGTAGTAAAACCTTAGGGTTTTTAACACTTGTGTGTTAGTGGCACCATTACTATGTTGTTGATCAACTTCTTGAAGATGTTTCAGTTAAAAATGTAGACTTGACCTTGGTACTGTGAACCTTGCAGTGTTGTGGTAGTTACATTTTATTCCTGTACCTTTTTGGGTGCCTTTGTTTTACTTGTTGTCAGATGTATATGAGTGCAGTGACAATCAGACTCTTTCCTCTACCTGCACACTTTCATCCCCACCCATAAGACACAAAAAAGAAAATTACTATCTTGTGGGAAATGATTTGTCTTCTACATAGGCACGTAATTACATGGGGGATTGCATCTAAATTTGTTTTAGGTGAGGGGTGGGATTGTTGGCCTATTTGAATGTCTTTGCAGTTAGCTGGTAAATTCCATTGATTTTGAAGATGGGTGAAGGCTTTCTGTATATACCAGCAGATGACTGCAAGTGTGTGAGTTGAGAAATAGAGCCAGTTATAGTTTGCTGGTAGGTCAATGAAAGTATGTACGAGTGGGTAGCCCAGTTGGCCTCTGAGTTCCAGTGTACCAAGGCACATATTCAAATAAAGTACTTTTGAATACAGAACATTTGTATTCAAAGACATGCTATTTGTTTATATGCAGTTACTCAAGACATATGATTCTAAATTCATATTTCTACTTAATTTGCTGTCAGATTGGTTTGAAAACTACAGTTTGCATTGATTTTCAATTTAAATTCCAGCATTGTACTAGTTTAAATATGATGCAAAACACACAAGTCGAGCAATTTTTTTTCCAAGCATCATCGTCAACAATGATAATGTCCCACATACATGAAAGGGTTCCCAGCTGCAGGACAAAGGTTGTAATAACATATCATTAAACAGCCATTGGTATCCATCAAGCTTTACTCGCAGTATGAGTATAATAGATGACAAGGGAATTAATAGACTACATTATAGGAATTTCATTTTTAATTTCATTAAGACAGTGACATTTACATTGTGGCTGACACACAAATTAGCTTTGAGATGAACCAGCTTTGTTGCTAAATGGATAATTTTTCAAGCTGATACATAGTATTTTACAATACATTATTGATGGCAATATTTTAACATTTAGCAGCATTTTTGCAACTGGAAGTTTCTTAAAATATTTTTTGATATGGAACATGTTTCTATGGTATTTTTATATAACTGATATTTTTACATGAAATTATATTAATCAAGTAGTTGTCAAGAGCAGTGCAATTTTTAACAGTATTATGGCAGTTAGCAGTACTGGAAGCAGTATTATAAACTGATAATGTCAATAGGTTGATATTCGTAAATATATTTGTGTTTGGGTAAGTAAGTGGATTGGCCTTGTGAAAACTTTGGATTACTCTATCCCTTCCCCACATAAGCATTTCATGAAGGTTACTTCATAAAGGATCATGATACATTTTTATTGTGATTTAGTAATAATGATTCACCATTTCCAGTCACATATCACAGAAGGCACTAATTACAGTGTGTTGGGTTCACTAACAAGGTAGGCATAGTTTAAGGTTTTCATCAGACTCTCTAGATGTTTTAATTCTGTGCTACCTTAAACCTCCTTCTGATGAGATTATTGAGCTAACGATTGAATAATAACAAACTTTGTTTTATTATATTCATCGGATGTGGGCAGTACTGGCTCGGCCAGTATTTATTGACCCTATCTCTAATTGTCCTGGAGAAGGTAGAAATTAACAATAAGCATTATTTTTAAATATTATATCACATTCTTTTGGGTATCCAGTTTAGATTCAATCTGTAGCTGCAGTCTGAAAATGCAATTATATTTTAAAACAAACTTGTTAAATTCTCCAAATTAGTTTACTTATTGCTGAAGAATGTTTATGGCATTTTAGCCATATTAGCAGAAATCCTTTGTTAATTAACCACATCCTTTTAAATGGAGGCTTAAAAAAAATCCACATCAGATTTTTGAAATAGCAGAATTCCGTATTGCAATTATATGAGGGATACAAAAAAGGCTGGTTATCCTCAGGTTAAGCTTGTAATAAAAGTCAACATGGCACAGACTTTGTCCCACATTATACTAATAAGAGCAGCAGGTTTACCACATTGAAATCCCATCTGCTCCATGATGATAGGGCAAAGGAGAGCAAAACTGGATGACTGGTGATGCCGTTATTTGCATAAATATGTATATCAATAAAATCTGTGTTTCCAAAGATCAAGATCTATCAATTAGTCTTTCACATGCACGTTTGTGACAGTGGGTTCATGTCCACAGAATCCCATTAATGCTAAATTTTCCTATCAACAATGTATCAGAATCAAACAACAATTTCATGACAAGGGGTTGTCATTAGCTAATGCTTGTAGTAAATCCTCAGTAGAAACCAGTTATTACACTATTTAGTGTGCATATTTTTTAAAGGCATGAATGATTTATATTGTATGCACAGTTCCATTTAGCAGAGCTATGAGAATTAGAAATGCACAGAAGGAACTGATTATAAGTTAATTCACTTGTGTTTGACATACCATTGGTCATTTGTGCAGAGGTAAAATAAACATCACTTTTGACAGTTTATGAAAACTCTATATTAATTGGCAATTTTCAGTTGATCATAACTTCTGACACCTTAACATGCTTTATATTCAGCAATGTTACGAGCTTTTAAGAATGTTCTTTCAGGATCTATGTCTCCAGAATTATCAGGGCTGACGCAATGGCACATTATTTTGAAAGCTGATAATGATATGCTAGTTTACAGTGTTTGCTCTAATTGCCCTTATGCATGTGATTATTGGACATGTGCAAAATACCAATAATCTGTCCATCAGAAACAAAGAACTTCTCTCTTAATGTTTGTTATTGAAGAATCAATCTACCATATTATTAAATGTTTAAACATTTTAATTCTCTATTAACCAATCAGAAAAAGAAAATAACAATCGACGCATTTGGTTTTAAATGAGGATTCATGTGATTATAAATGGCGCTCACCTTTGACTCGAATAATGATCTTCCATAGCTAATTAAATTTGGAATACATTGCTGTAACAAGGTAGACATTTAAAAGAGACTGTGGTACAAGGGTCCCTGAGTACGTCATCTTTAAATTTCTTAATGCTTTTTGAAATTTAACAGAGATGGACATTATGGCTAAGCACTGCTTTATCTTGAAAATTTTTAATGTATCCAGGCTTGATATTTTGCTCATACTTTTTATTGGCTTCATAGAACCTGGGCTTAACACCATCCTAATGTCGAGCAACATCTGGAACTATACTGAACTATTGCATTGGTTATTTATTCCAAAATAGGTTTTACGCATTCATTTAAAAAGGCCAATTTTTCAACAGCATAGTAAAAATTGTTATCTTCCATACTCTTTAATATAATAATTGCACAAACTGTAAAATCCTTTCTGTGAAAGGTGCTCCTGTCAAAATATGTAAAGTAAGATAACATTGTGCAACCTGTAATTGAATTACTTTGGTAGAATGAAGTCCAATGTGTACCTTCAAGGTACATATGCCAAAATATAATAAAAGTAACTGTTTAAATGTATTACTGTTCGATGTATTAATTTTAAATTGTCAAGTTTGTAATTGAAATTCTGCTATGGGTTATTGGATTCTGCTGTTTGCATCCCAGGGGATTGTCACTACAATCTCCCCACATCGGTTGATCAGTCCTTGCAGGAGCTTAATTAACATGTGGAAGCAAGATGATATGGTATTTTCCTTTTCTCAATTCTAAGACTAGGATGTGACTAAAATGATTGGCACACAGAAGTTTATAGCTCAGGTTGTACAGTCTGCCTACCTGTCATTGATTGAAAGGTGCAGGAAAACTTGCTTTAATTTAACAACTTAAACCCTTGGCCTCCTCCAAAAACTTCAGCTTTAAAAATCTGTACTGGAATTTTGGAGAATTATTTATTTTGACAAGTAGTGGTTAAATTTCCAGTGGTTCTGTGCAAGACAATTTTTGCTAGCATACACCTTTCTCAATTTTAAAAGAAGCATGAGATGAAAGTAGAAACCATATACTGTATTGTAACAGAGGTAGATGATGACCTAGTGCTATTGTCGCCTAACTATTAATCAGGAAACTCGGGTAATGTTCTGGTGACCTGGATTTGAATCCTGCCATGGCAAATGGTGGAATTTGATTTCAATTTTTAAAAAATCTGCAATTAAGAATCTACTGATTACCATGAAAACATTGCCAATTGTTGGGCAAAAACCCATCTGGCATCACTAATGCCCTACAGGATGGAAATCTACCATCCTCGTGTGGTCTGGCCTGCACGTGACATCAGACCTGCAGCAAACCTGTTGTTTACTCATAACTTCCTTTTGAAATGCCCTAACAAGCCACTCAGTTCAAGGGCAGCCGGGAATGGAGAATAAATGCTGACCAGCCAGTGACGTCCACATCTTGCGAGTGAATTTAAAAAGAATTAATCCATCCATGTTTACTGACCAGTCGAGCAACTTATACAGAGATCTATATAAATTTTCAATGAATTTCCTCATTTAGAATGTGAAATCAGTGATCCTTATCAATAAAAATCAGCTAGAGGGGCCACTATTAAGATAGCAGTTTTTGTTTTAAATTCAGCCAATGGCATCTGCGCAGTTAATGTGTTTTAAGGAACTTTTTCATTGTAGCAGTTTTTGAACATTCAGCCTCTTCTAAAACACATTGTACAGGCAAAGTTTGGAGATATGACAGCTAAAGCTTTTGATAATATGATAGAAAACAGTATGAAAATTCTGGGGTTTTAGTAGTGGAAGTAAAGAGAAACTGTTGCTTCTGAAAAATGGATCTGAAACCAAAGGTCATGGATTTAAAATAATTGGCAACAAAATGAGTGGAGAAATAGATGTCTTTGCCTACACAGAGGGTTGTTAATACCTGGAATACAAGGGTAATGAAAAGAGATTGCAGAGGAACTTTCAAAAGTCAATTAGATGTGTCCCTCAAGAGGACTAATTTGAAAGGCTTTTGGAAGAATGTTGGAATGTGGGCCTAAACTAGGCAACAGTTTCAGAGTACTGAAGGCTGCACCAGTCTCGTACTATAAGAAAAGCAAAGCACATTGGCTCAATTTCTGTCTGAAACCAAATAAAAGCAGCTGAAATGGAAAATATTAACGAAAAGTATTTCTAAGAATTCTGTGGCTCAAAGTGAAAATGATGTCCTTATAAAATCTGCTATAATCATGCAGTTTCTAGGAAATAATTACTATATCCACATATGGCAAATCAACATGTCAGTCGTTTCATCCCTAAATGGAATGAAAAGCTCCCTCTCTATTCCAAAAACTAATATTGATGTTAACCTCAAAGAACAACCTTTGCTGGACCATTGCATTAATACAACTGTATTATTGGAGCCTCTTGAAATTGACAAAAAAATTGTCAGTATAGTACTGAGGATTTCATTTGTCTTTGGACCCATGGCACTCAAGAAATGAATTAAAATTATCTCATGTAGGATGTTTACAAAAGAGTATTCTGAATCATAATCCATTCAATTCACATTACCTGATTTGTTTGTATTCTTGCTTGAGAATTGATGGCTGACATACTGAAAAAAGCACAGATTTAAAATACAACAGCCATGTTGCATTCATCCTGGAGCATTCCAGTGAGTCAGTTATGTTTGAGTATAGCACAGACAAAGCAGAAGGTAATTACTGCACAGGAGGGGCCAGGTTGATCTGGCTCAGAATAAGAGACCCCAGATCCTGCATGTACTCAAAGTCATGTTACAACATGGGTTGTGATAAAGCACATCACACGGCTACTGAAAGACAGCTTTCACTGCCTGGGTTACTCTGGAGGTACCATGCAGCTGTCACAGAGCAGATGCAGGATTTGTGCAGCAGTAGATCATCTCAACCTCGCCATGATGAGGGCATTGCCCTTGCCAACAGCTATATGGTGAGGAGGAAGAGAAGGCAAATAGGTGACAATCACCAAGATAGTGGATGTGGTTGACTATCCAACCATGAAACCAATAAGTGCAACCTCAAGATGTCATTTATTAACTATTCCTCATCTTCCTTATCCCGCCCCCCCCAACCGTGCTTGAGCACAATACTAAAATAAAAGCCAACCCCAAATAAATGTTCCAAACGAAATGTATAAATCAAAACATACCATACACTATGTACCATATCATACTGCACAGCAGCCCAGTCAGTCTCGTTCCCCTGCTCTATCCCTGTAACCTTTATTTACCCTCAGAGCCCATCCAGTTTCATTCATTGTCTCTGCTTCCATCCTCTAGTATGCAGGCAGTTACAGGTCATTTTCACGCACTGCAATAAAAATCTTCTTCACATCTCCCCTGCATCCATTGCATAAAATGTACCATTAACTAATGGAAAGTTATTCAATTAAGTTGTGATGAAGTATGGTGGGGAGAGGGTTGTGTGGAACATGGGCATCAGCACAGACCAGTTGGGCTGACTGCACCTTCATTGCCAAAACAAATGGCTACACAGATTTGGGCTCTCACTTTAAGACAATAGGAACTCGAGCTCCAGGAACACTCACCATGCGTTTGTTTGTGAGCATGTTCAGCTGAACATGGGGCAATCTCGTTAAAAAAAAGATAGTGCCATCTGAGTTCAGGGGCCCGACAAGGCATGGGCATCAGTTATTAGCACACATGCATCCTCCCCTCCCAGGCCCTGTGAAGGAAGCTTCCTGAGTTGTTGCCGTGCATCTTGTAGATGATACAGACAACTGCTCCTGAGCGTCAGTAGAGGGAACAAATGTTGAAGGTGTTGGATGTGATGTCAATCAAGCAAGCTGCTTTGTCCTGGATGTTATAGAGTTGCCTAAGAACTGCCCATATCCAGGCAAATGAAGTTTATTTCTTCTCACTCCTGACTTGTACATTGTGAGTTGTGGATAGTTTTTGGAGAGTCAGGAAGTCAGCACAGAATTTTTAGCCTTTAACCTGTACTTGTAGCTACACCATTTATAGAGCTGGTCCCATTTAGTTTCTGGTCAATGGTAATCCCCAGAATGTTGACAGTGGGTTTCAGGGATGGTGATGCTATAGAATGCTAAGGGGAAATGGTTTAATGCCCTCTTGTTAGGGATTGTCATTGTCTGGCTCTGGTGTGACATGACTGTTTCTTACCTCTCATTAGGCCAAGAATGAATATTGTCCAGGTCTTGCTGTATTTGGACATGGACTGCTTCAGTATCTGAGGAATTACAAGTAGAGCTGAACATTGTGCAATCATCAGTGAGCATCCCCACTTCTGACCTTGTAATGGAGGGAAGGCCATTGATGAAACAGCTGAAGATGGTTGGGTCTAGGGCCCGCAGAGATGTCTTGGGACTGAGATGATTAACCATAAACAACCACAATCATCTTTCTTTATGCTCAGTATGAGTCCAACCACTAAAGGTATTTTTTCCTGATCACCATTGACTTCAGTTTTGTTGGGGCTGCTTGATGTCATGTTTGTTCAAATGTGGCTTGATATCAAGGGCAGTCATTGTCACATAAGACCATAAGACATAGGAGAAGAAATTAGGCCATTCGGCCCATCGAGCCTGTTCCGCCATTCAATCATGGCTGATAAGTTCCTCAATCCCATTCTCCTGCTTTCACCCCGTAACCCTTGATCCCCTTGATAATCAAGAACCTATCTATCTCAGTCTTAAATGTACTCAACGACCTGGCCTCCACAGCCTTCTGTGGCAGTGAATTCCATAGATTCACCACTCTCTGGCTGAAGAAGTTTCTCCTTATCTCCATTCTAAAAGGTCTTCCCTTTACTCTAAGGCTGTGCCCTCGGGTCCTAGTCTCTCCTACCAATGGAAGCATCTTCCCAATATCCACTCTGTCCAGGCCATTCAGTATTCTGTAAGTTTCAATTAGATCCACTGTCATCCTTCGAAACTGCAATGCATGTAGTCCCAGAGTCCTCAAATGTTCCTCATATGTTAAGCTTTTCATTCTTGGGAAAATTCTCGTGAAACTCCTCTGAACCCACTCCAGGGACAGTACATCCTGAGAAAAGGGGCTCAAGACTGCACACAATACTCCAAATGTGGCCTGACCAGGGCCTTATAAAGCCTCAGTAGTACATCCCTGCTTTTATTTTCAAGTCCTCTCAAAATAAATGCCAACATTGCATTTGTCTTCCTGACTAATGACTCAACCTGCAAGTTTACCTTGAGAGAATCCTGGACTAGAACTCCCAAGTCTCTTTGCACTTCAGACTTCTGAATTTTCTCTCCATTTAGAAAATAGTCCATGCTTTTATTCTTCTTACCAAAGTGCATGACCTCACACTTTCCCACATTGTACTCCATCTGCCACTTCTTTGCCCACTCTCCTAACCTGTCCAAATCCTTCTGCAGCCTCCCCACCTCCTCAATACTACCTGTCCCTCCACCTATCTTTGTATTGTCTGCAAACTTAGCCAGAATGCCCACAGTTCCTTCATCTAGATCATTAATGTATAAAGTGAAAAGTCGTGGTCCCAACACTGACCCTTGCGGAATGCCACTTGTCACTAGCTGCCA